GGTTTTATTTGTCTATTTGGTTCTTCCAGTCTTGTGTTTAAGGAACCATAAAGCCACTGTCAATTAACCCTTAAGTTTTGTCCAAATGTTTGATTAGTTTTTCTTCCTGATGAGCTTTTCTTTCAGTCTGTCAGGTTGTCCACGAGCATCAGGGAACAAGAAAAAAGCAAAATCACCTGGGGACGAGTATATAACTGCGAAGTTTAGAGCAAGTGATGGTAAAGAAACAGAATATTTTTTCAATATTTCCTAAAAATCCAAATAATTATCACTGTTGTATGTCCCAGGGGGCATATTGGGAAACAAAGGTGATTATTGTATTATATTCTAACTCTGTCATTAATTTTGACCATGGTTCAATGAACTGTAGAAACTGCAATCACTAATCTGCATTTACTGCATTCATAATGAACATTGTTAATGGTGCTTAAGGGTTCATGGTAGCTAGGGGGTCAGCACCACTGTCTCGTAATCCTGGGGCTGAGATAATGAGCCCAGGTTGCGTCACAAATGGCATTTGGCTTTAAAAATAATTGGCCCTAAAATTGCTAAACCCTTGTGTGAGTTTGTTTGTTGTGGTGACCCTTACAGAAGGAAGCAGCTGAAAATGAGAAACAATTTTAAAGATGCTGAAGTAGAGTGGGCAGCACAGTGGCTCAGTTGGTAGAGCTGTTGCCTCTCAGCGAGAAGGTTGCCAGATCAAATCCCGGCCTGAGGCCTTTCTGGGTGGAGTTTGCATGTTCTCTCCGTACTTTCATGGGTTTTCTCCCACAGACCAAAAACATGCATGTTAGGCTGATTGGTGACTCTAAATTGTCCCTAGGTGTGAGTGAGAGAGTGAATGTTTGTTTGTCTCATTTGTCTCTATGTGTCCCTGTGATGGACTGGAGTCCTATCCAGGGTGTACTCCACCTCTCGTACAGTGATAGTTGGACATGGGCACCAGTGACCCCCCACAACCTGAAAAGGAAGAAGCGGGTAAAGATAATGGATGGATGAATGGATGAAGTAGTAACAGTGAAAGACAGTTTTCCATTTGTAACAACAACAACTTCACACTGCTCCAAAAGGAGGTCTTATAAAACCAGATATGATTTTTTATTTGTGGTATTCACAGACTGTGATTGACCAGCAGTTAGGCTCCCTGTAGTTAAACATGCAAATTATGAGAAAGAAGAGAAAGAAACAAAGGAGAAATGTTGAATTCTGGTGCATTCTAGTTTGTTTCCCATGCCTTCATAAACTCCAAGTAAATCTGAGGGAATGACTTAGAAAATGCATGGATTGAGTTTGATTACATTTTCCATGAGTCTTTTTTTTATTTTAAGAATTAACCTGTATCAGATTTTATACCTCCTACTTAAATACTTTAGTCATAGTAGAACCAGAAACAGATAGTTATTCCTTCTGTATAGTACAGTATCTAGACAGATAAACTAGCTTTTATAAATGTGTGGCAGTCAAAGGATGGTGTCCTAATATTTCTATGTTATTATTCACTCAGTTCTTGACAATGATGAAGATATCAAGCAGCTCAACAAGGAGATCAATGAACTCAACGAGTCCAACTCAGAGATGGAAGCTGATATGATCAATCTTCACACCCAGGTGAGCATTAACACATGGCTGAACTTGTATTTGTATGTGAAAATACATCCCAGATGCTGCTATCTGATTGTGTAACCAGATATTGTAGCTGAGTGGGAACCAACGGCATCCAGATCTGATTTTTAAGGTCCACTATTCTGCATGTTTTAGATTGGTCTCTGCTTCAACATCTGCTTTGAATGAATGGGTTAATAACAGTCTTTGCAGAACTTGGTAAATCATACAGGATAGTGACCCTCAAGGACCAGGATTAGACAGTACTCGTGTGAGTACAAGTTTTGGTAACTTGTGGGGTTGGGGGAGGGCAGCAAAATATCTCACTGACCACTGAATTCTCAAAAGGTCACTAATGGACGTACAGCTACAGCTACTTTTGTAGTCAATCTGAATAAATGTGACTGCCACGGCTAATTAATAACTCTCCAGAAATATAAAAAAGGTAATACCTTAGCTTGTCTTTTTACAGACACTGAGCTAAACTGTGGTGTGGTAGCAGTTGAAACTGATATTGTTTAAATCTTTGGCATGCAAGGCAAGGTGTAATATCAAAGGAATGATACTTTTATTTAAATGGGCCACTTGATGGATTAGTGGTTAGCACTGGTGCCTCACAGCGAAATGATCCTGGGCTCAATCCCCACTTTGGACCTGGAGTCTTTCTGTGTTGAGTTTATATGTTCTCCTCGTGTCTGCGTGGGTTTTCTCCGGGTACTTCGGTTTCATTTCACAGTTGAAAAGCATGCTTGTTAGGCTGCCTTCTGGTCGAGGCCTCTCTTGCAAAAGAGATCTGTGATCTCAATGGGATTCGCCTGGTTAAATAAAGGTTATTGAATAAAAATTAGCAAAAGTGAATCCACATGCAGACAAACAGTCCAAAAGCTTAGAACTGTCAGTTCAAGGTAAATATACTGTATACTCCTATTGTAACAAAACCAATAGCATTTCTATGACAGGATGTGCAAAGAGAATTGCAGCCAACAAATGAGAGGATCTGTGTGTGAACTGTATTTTTCTTGTGCCATCAGTTCCTGCCTTCCTCCGTGTTTTTCCCTCGTGTTGCCAGTTACTGCTGCACCTGTCCCTCACTGTCCTCCCCCAGGTGTTTGTAATTTTTTGATTATCAGCATCTCTTTAAATTCTGCGTCATTTGTTGAATCCCTGTCAGTGGACTGTCCTGTGAAGGCTGCTATGTCCTGTCTCCTCGTTCGCATATACAAGTTTTGCTGCCATGTCAGCCTTTTGTTTTTGTCCAATAAATATATTTCTTATTTTATCTTCGAGTTCTCTGAGCACTTGTCTGCTCTTTGGGTTCAACAAACCACCAGAATCGCGATAACAAACAAACAAACAAAACCCCTCAAAGAAGACAAGCAAGCAAATGCACAAGTAAGACCTTGGAAACAAATGGTGCATTCCAGTTGTACTGAGAAGTGGGAATTCCCAGTCAGAAAGTGGGAGCAGTACAGAGAAACACCAAGAAAACATCATTCCAGATGTGCTGATTACAAACTGAAACCTGGTGGTTTATAGTAATAGAAAGTAAACTTGACTGAGCACAAAAGAAAAACAAAACAAACACACATAACAACAAAAAATCATTGAAAGAGACAAAATACTTTTGTGGGAAAAATAACTTTCAACATATCAGCAACTAACAAATAAAGATTTTAAAAAACAGTGAGACACAAAATAGGTCCACAGATGCAAAACTGAAACGTTTAGTACCAGGAGCAGTACAGAGAAACACCAAGAAAACATCATTCC